TCTTGGTCAAATCGATTTTGTACTCTTTCATCATGTAACTTGCATCATTTTGTGTGAATAAATATTGAATAGTATTTTCCCAACTGATGTCTCCCTCTACCGTCACTATTCTGCCTTGGTAAAGCTGTGTCTTACGATAAATCTTGAATTCGGATAATTTCACATGATCCAACCCCTTAATAGCCTCACGCATCTCTGAGGAGGTCCTGAACCATGCTTTATCAAATGGATATCCCATGCCACGTGGATCAGGATATTTATTATCCTTGGCTCCACAGAAAGACATTGATACCGTATCATCCTACATAAAATAAAGTATACCAAGTTAATTACAAAACCTACAATGACTTTATGCATAATAAAAGCTGCATAAAAAGTTAATAAACATACCTCTGAGATAATATCATTAGTGAGTATAGCAAAAACTACATAATCAATGCCCAATTCAGTACCATTGGGTATCATCATATTCTGAGGCCATCCACATAAACAGCGTGGATCTTGATACTCCGATGGATCAGGTACTTTGCGGGCTACAGAGGACTCTACATCTAGTCTGACAAATGTTGCAGACTTTGTAGTAAGGGTGCATAAAAATTTATCCATTTCGATGTAACGGCGCTGCTCATGCATTAGCTGCTTAGGAGCAATGAAGATTCGCACAGTAAATGGCTTCAAATTTTTAATTTCATTTTCATCTACAGTGGCTTCAACCTTGACTACCCATTTGTAAGGCTCATGGTTGAGCTTAGCATTGACTTCATGCAATCCCAACTGAGGTGCAGTGAGATATGTGGCAATACCTCCATCAGGTGTTGTAGAATTTTCATCTTGTGGCAGGATTTGTACTCCAGTGAGCTTTACATGAGGTGGGGCACTTTCTTTGAGTGCATGTTGCTTGTATTTCTTTACAATAGACTGACGAAAATCATCAATGTGCCTGTGCCAAATCCAAAAGACTGGATCACGAACTGCAACAGAGGTGAACCCCATGACTCCCCAACGGTTTTTGTTTGACATGTATGTCTGGTAACCAATCTCACCAAATTTGTCATGACCAAGGTTGTGTAGTGTGCCATACAAGTCGCTATCAATGAACTCGTTTGAGCCTGGGCTTACCTCCTGCAGCTGATGTGCCTCAGCCTCAACAATTATGCCAACCCAGTTCATGGCATTATCTTCTGTGAGATTGAACTTTCCTTGATCACCATTTTCTTTCTTTGTGTAAAAATAACCTTGAATAATGCCCTTGTTGATGTTATTACGCCAGAAAATCATTGTATCTTTGGAAACAGTAGCAAGCTTTTCAGGCATGAAGGGGGAATGCTCCTCAAGCCAGCCTTGAAGTGGAGGCCTTGCTCCATACTCATCTCTCAGACCTGGGGGTGGTGTATAACTTGGCTCCACCACCTCATCATAGCTCCATGGGTCCACCAATCCTATGTCAGACCAACTCAACCGCTCTGCATTGTATCGGGCTAACATCTGAGAATGCATGTAAAGGAACAGTTCCCCTTGCCTATCAATGGTTCGGTGGATCTTTTCTTCCTTTATTGTACTAATTCCTGACCAAGGATAAACCAGATGCCAATGGTAGTGGTGGTCATTGAGATCATAATCTTCTCGCCAATACGAGAGGGTTTCTATTGCCTTTAAAGTGTCGGCTGTAGTAGGATTTAATTCCGGAAAAGTCGAGGGAATAGTCGGGGTGACCTCGGGGATGACGGTTTTCTCAATTGGAATAATAGCTGGCATGGCAAATTCTAAATGCTCCTTTAGTGAGGGTGCCACAACCCCTAAATACTGAGCCTCTTTACTGTGCGTTAGAAAAATCCCCATGGCCATTTTAACAAGATGAGGATTAACACGATCTTTTATAGCAGCTTCTGCTACTTCAATGGCGGCCTCCAACGATTGTTTCTCAGCTTCCGACGGCTGTAAAACAAGCGAGCGAACAGCTACGGCAGCGGCCTGTGAGGCCTGGACCAACTTGAGCATCATTTTCTGCAACTCTATTCCACTGGCTGGATGAAAATCACGAAATGATCGTGAGATACCATGGCCATGTGCAGGCTTGTTTTGAAAAAGATTTCTGATCTGAGCCTGTACTTGAACTCTTGCTATGGTGAAAAAATAAACAATAGATCTACTTATTAAAATTTATGTACGACTAGGAGAAGTTACCTTGACTATCCATGCCGGGCTATGAACTTGCGGAGTCAGTGAATATCTTAAGGCTGCAGGCTTGCAATAGTGAACTTTTAACCGAGTGAGGGCTGAGTCTGCTGAAAAAAGTGAAAATGATTTGGTGGCTTGTAAGTTTTATACAAGTATAGCTTGAGCTGAGTATAGGTGTGGCTCTGGCATGCAACGCCTATTAATGATTATGAGGTCGAGTTATGACTCAAATTAATTTAATATTATTTTATATTTTTAGCCACACAACTTAAAAATACTGAATTATATTAAATGATGTATTTCACTGTTTGTAGAAGATGTCCTTCATGTAAGCTATCTTCCAACCATTTCAATGAGACTACTGTGGCCTTATGTGTATTCCATGGTAACTTCTTTCCCTCCAAGCCAGGAACAATAATGTGTGTTGTTTTATCAGTGGGGGCCTCTTCTACATCACCATTATAAGTAAGGATAAGTTAAGGAATATATACATCATTATTAAACTAACATTAAATCTATATATGTAGAATTAGGATATGCTATTATATAACGGGATAGAGAGAGTTTGGTGATCTTATCAATTCCATTAAAACAGACACTAATATCAGTAAATATATCAGGTAATGGATCCACTACTAAAAGATTACAATAATGATGACTGAATAAAGGCCTAGTCTCTTTACCTTTAGTTTGAAGTTCAGGGCTGACACTTGGTATAGTTTTGTGTTGTCCATGACGTGGAAAATAATAACTGTTGAATGTTAAGGAGATAATTATCAGTGATAGAAATTAATGTGAGGGGCTTCCCTACATGTACATGTACGATATAGTTTATAGTAAGTGGTTTGTTCATTTCTGAGATACATGAATGTTGGTATTCCTTTGCTTGAGAGATGTTTTCTGATTAATCTCTCAGTACCATACCAATTGAAATGAGGAGTAGAGTGACCTATCCTTGGTAAATGAACTGATGCTATAGAAAGAGAAAAGGAAAGAAGAGAGAGAAAGAGACAGTTGGGACAGGTAAAGAGGAAGAAAAAGAGAGAAAATGACAAGGAAATAGAAAGATAATACAATTACTAGGTGTTACCATTTAGTCTTAATGCTAGGCTACTGATTCTTTGTAAGCCAATGCTGAGAGAAGGTAACTTAATCCCTGAGAGACTACCACTAGAATCCCTTGACTGGGCAACAATTAGTGCCAACTAAAATTAATGAAGACAAAAATCAACAATACATGTAGTACATGAACAATAAAAACTGTATAATGAGTCAATGACTACACACTATATGTACATGTACATGTATACATACCATATCTCTGCCTTGATCTCTACTCATGATATCATCAACTGGTATTACATGCACATCACTCAAGGACAAATCTACAATTATTACATCAGTGTCATAATGTAACTGACCATCATTACACAGTACCTCTCATTTTACTTGCTTTCTTATAGTAGGTCTCTGGTTGCATTGAGCGTGTTGATATAGCTGAGAATAAACCACCACGCCCACACCGTCCAGAATCATCTACATGTACATGCACACGAAAAGCATAATGTACAGAATAATTTTAATATAAATATTAAGATAAATTCAATTGATTATTTAGAGACAATTCAACACTATACCAGTGCATTACACCTTATACATGTACTACCATGAAGAGTGTCTACTAGTCATACCAATAATGTGATATTCCTTACCTACACAGTGTACAATAATAGCATCATTAGTTGATGTGTTTTGTGGTTGTGTTACGTCACCAATGAGATACTGTAGTTCTGTCTCCTCTCTCTCTTCCTCCTCCTCTTCCTCTTCTTTTATCTTCAAGTTAATGATGAGTAGTTGTGTTCTTTCCACCATCCCTGCTTCTTTCTCTCCTTCTCTTCTCTTTGTTTTTTCTTTTCTTAGCTTATAAGAAGTATAAGAATTTAGTGCTTATATGCATGTACAAGTAGATTGAGTAATTAAACTGTTGTAATTAACTGTAGTTGTACATTTTTACAAATCAGCCATTAAAAGCTACATTCAGAAAAAATGCAATAAAAAATTAATTCATGCAAACTTTATTTTTGACTGATTTGTGACAATTTAACATTTAAAATTTATCCATTTAAAGTCAGTCCTAAATTTTTAGTAAGGGCAAGTAATATTAATTTTGTGGTGTAACTATTGTAACCTTAATACATGGTTTAGCCCATGGTTCTTGTCAAAATTGACTTCAAAACAAATATTATTTTGACAAAAATTTTCTACTGACACATTTCCTTGGAACAATTAGGCTCTAATTTAATAATTGGGCCAGAGACTATAATTCATAGCTACTTGTAAATAAAATTTATGTTACTACATTTTCCAATACACACATGACATGCATGAATTACATGCATTTGTTAAATCAAACCTTCTTTCTTCTCTCTTCTAGTTCTTCTTCAGTGAGTGGTTTCCTTTTTCTTTTTTGAGATAATATATCATCAGTTGCTCTGAGTTGACCTCCTCCAGACCCACCACTCTTTAAAACTCTATCATCAGTTGAAGGACCAGTAGAACTTAGCACTAGTTGTTCTGTAAAACAATAATTAATAATGAAGGCTGACTTCGTCAATAAAATTAATCATAACAAAGGTGTCAAACATGCATACATGCATACTGTACCAATTTGGAGCAACTTTTAAAATTAATATGAAAATTCTAATTTGATAGGAATCAGCTCTAACTTTTCATACAACATAAGTACATGTATGTGTATCAGGAAAAAAAGGAAACTTTAGAATTCTGACTTTTTCATTTTTGGTGGAATTTGGCATGACCAAATTTAAAAATTCGTAAAAAAATCTAATTTTGATTGGAATCAGCAATCAGCTTAAACTTTTTATATACACAACATACAAAACATGTATATGTACCAGGAAAACATATAAAATAGATAATTTTCTTGTTTTCGTTTTGACAAATTTTAACCAAATACCCTGTAGTAAAGTACCAGAGGCTTTGGCCTGATTTTGAAGCAGCTTTAAAAAGTTATAAAAAATTGACTATAATCAAAATCAGCTCAAAGTTTCCACACAACATAAGTACATCTATGTATCTGGAGAAAAATAGAGAATTCTCTCATTTTAATTTTTGGCAAAATTAGGCCAATGACCCTTATAGTACAGGGACTTTGCAAATACATCTAAATTGACTTAACTTCACATCATCCATCAATTACTGTATAGCGAGAAATTTTCATGGCCCAAAAATTCACGAATTCATTCAAAAATCTATTTCATGTAGAGCTGGGCAATAGCTTCGAATATATTGAGTTGGGCAATAGCTTCGAATATATTCACTATTGCGATAGTATAGAAGCTATTGTGTTGTGATAGTAGTATTTAAGCTATCGTGATAGTGGATCTAGCTAGCCAGTCTAGGCATGCTATACAGAGGCGTATTTAGGGGGGGGCTGAGGGGGCTTGAGCACCCCCCTCAGGGCTGGGCTCAGAAAAAATTACTGAAGTCCTGGACTCTTGCATCACTACCAAGCCTCTTAACAAAGTTATCTAGCCCCCTTATCATGATTTCAGCAGTTTCCAGTGCTTTAAGGAGCAATAAGAAGTACCAGTAACATAGCAGTATGCTTGAAATGATCTTGGCCCCACCTGTAATTGACGAAAATGCAGGAAAAGGCCATTTTACCGCCGTAAAAATGGGTGTGGCTAAAATTGGGTGCGCTTCGCGCGCCCTCAGCACCTCCTTTCTCGATTCCTAGATACACCCCTGCTATAACCACATTTTTAGCCATTAAGTGCTATAGTCATGGCAAGAGGTGCATTACTGACATTTAACATTTCAATTTTAATTGCTAATCATCATTATTAATTTTTATTAGACAAACCCAGGTCAATCCCAACTTACACAAGTTGAGGAAAACAGTCAAAGCTCAATCCAGTTCTATTTATGATCCGAGGATTCCGAGCTCAACCACTGATATTCAAGTCAGATGATTCAGATCAGGCCTGATTTGATTTTGGCATTTTTGGGAAAATGGCAAAGGCGGGGCTGCAGAGAATTACGCCAGTATACTGAACCATGAGAGTTCAAATGAAGCCATTCACCATGATCTGACAGTTCTGCAGTAGCCAGTAAGTGTTCCTGATATAACTTAACAATTTCCACAAGTCTTGGTATAGTCACCCCTCTAGTTTTGCATGTCTATCCTGGGCTGGATTTCTATTTAGAGGGGTGTGGTGAATGAGTGTGGTTGAAATGAGAAAATAATTATTGAGATATACTCGTGTCACAACTGAAAAATTAGGTCCCTTGGCAAAAAGGTTCTCCCCAGAAAGCGATGGTCCCTAAACCATAGCTCCGTAAAATTTTGGTCCCCTTGACTAATATTGCTTGCCAAAAGCTAAAAACTTAACACTAAGCTTCAAAGCCTATATAAGCACTAAAATTTAACTCTAAATTGTACTGAAAAAACCGTCAAAGGACCACTTTTAGCTAAGACCATATATGGTATGACACTGGACTTACACGGCAAAGAAGTTTTTTATAATATTTTGCCATCATGGGCACTGTTGGGGTCTTTTCTGATACTAGTTTTTATAAAGCTATTTGTGCACTTTTATAGTTTTTATTCTTTTGATATCTCTTATAATTTCATGGGTCCTTGAACGTTTTAAGTTGTTTTATGTTTAGTGTCAATTGAATTTATCATAGAGGAAGGAAAACAGAAATTTTATGGGCATGCAGAAGTGCTAAGGCATGCACTAAAATAATTGTTGATACCAAATAAAATGATAACATTGTTAATTGTTTCTTGATAGAATGCTGTTCTAGTATATATGCAAGTACATACTCTAGCCTGGCTATTTGTACCATCTCCCTTATAAATAATATTAATTATCTATTATAGAAGGAAACAGGTAGGGGTATAGATTTGGTTTATGTAAACTAAACCCTACTATAGCAACTGCATCATACTAATTGCTTGTACACAACATCTTTGTAATTCTACCTCTAAGATAATAAAAATGAATTTTAGTGTCAAGTGGGTTTATAGAAACCATGTTTATTTCTAATCTATACTCTGCGGTCACTCCTTCCTTTTATTAAGTTATTGCATTATCTAAGAGAATATAGTACGGACTAGGGATAATCATGGGTTTCATGAAACCCTACTATATACACATGTAGTAACTAGCACTAAAAATCTATTATAATCTTATTGTACCTATGTATCCAAAGAATATTATATTATTGTTTTGCTAAGAGATATGGTGTCTCTTAATGTAATGAACATACTGACCTCTTTTACTTATGTATGAATAAAATTCATCCTCTTCTATGCATATCAATTTTTAATGCTAGTGGCCTAATAATTAGATATGTATAAGCATTTGTTATGATACATGATTGGGTTTGTCCTGACAATGTTGTTTATATAATAATATTAATAACAACAATAATAATAACAATTATAAAATAATAACATAATAATAACAATAATAATAATAATAACAAGCAACAACAACAATAATAACAATAATTATCAGAAAAAAATAACAATAACAATAGTAACAACAATAATAATAAACTATGTGATAAAGAATAAGTCAGAGGAGGATGGCCCAGATAGAAACCCCAAGACACTGACAGCATTAGCTCTCTGGACTTCTGCCAAAAGACGCTTTTCATGATTGGTCAGTATATTTTTTTGAAACTGTGTTGCTACAGTTATTTACCTTTTCTCTGTTTTGAAAATCACATCTTTCAAAGGAGATAATGCCAACTTTAATTGTACATTAATGCAACTGTATTAAAACCTGTATTCTAGCTTTTACCTATTTTCCTCCCTCCACTTTTAGACTATATGCAATCAGATGTGGACTATAATAGCTAGTTAGTTTTCCCATGTGGGTGTTTTAGTAATCATACCATTAACACACAAAGATAACGCTGCAACTATCTCTCCATTTCTATTTCAATGGAAACAGGAAAAATTGTGAATGAGTTTGTGTATTACCATTGTTACGTATGTGTTACAATTGTTTTTTATGCAATGCATTGTTACGTGTGTTATCATTGTTATGTGTGTGTTACCACTGTATATGTGTGTATTGTGTATGCATGTGTCTTTTACTATTGTAGATGTGTGTGTGTAACAGATTTCATCTGATCTGACACTCTTACACTGTCTGCACATTTGTTCATTCAATTTTTTATTCAATTACCTTAATGAGTGATAACATTGTTGTTTCTTGATAGAATGCTATTCTAGTGTATATACATGTACATACTCTAGCCTGGCTATTCGTACCATCTCCCTTATAAATAATATTAATTATTACACAAGGAAATAAGTAGGGATATAGATTTGGTTTATGTAAACTAAACCTACTATAGCAACTGCATCATACTAATTGCATGTACACAACATGTTTATTTCTAATCTATACTCTGTGGTCACTCCTTCCTTTAAGTTATTGCATTACTATGAGAATATAGTATGGACTAGGGATAATCATGGGTTTCATGAAACCCTACTATATACACATGTAGTAGCTAGCACTAAAAATCTATTATAATATCATTGTACCTATGTATCCAAAGAATATTATATTATTGTTTTGCTAAGAGATATGGTGTCTCTTAATGTAATGATATACTGACCTCTTTTACTTATGTATGAATAAAATTCATCCTCTTCTATGCATATCGATTTTTAATGCTAGTGGCCTAATAATTAGATATGTATAAGCATTTGTTATGATGCATGAATGGGTTTGTCCTGACAATGTTATTTTATTTTCATTATTGGTCAGTATAATTTTTTGAAACTATGTTGCTAAAGTTATTTACATTTTCTCTGTTTTGAAAATCACATCCTACAAGGAGATAATGCCAACTTTAATTGTACGTTAATGCAACTGTATTTAAACCTGTATTCTAGCTTTTACCTATTTTCCTCCCTCCACTTTTAGACTATATGCAATCAGATGTGGACTATAATAGCTAGTTAGTTTTCCCATGTGGGTGTTTTAGTAATCATACCATTAACACACAAAGATAACGCTGCAACTATCTCTCCATTTCTATTTCAATGGAAACAGGAAAAATTGTGAATGAGTTTGTGTATTACCATTGTTACATGTGTGTTACAATTGTTTTTTGTGTAATATA